TACAAAGAACACACAGAGATCCTTATCTTTGAGTAACCAAGTGAACCCTTCACACTCCACTTAGTAAGAAATCTCCTTCAAACACTCTCTCTCACTCTCTCCTTCAAATTCCCTTTAGTATTCATGAAGACCACGTGATAAAAAATATCTCATGACAGTCTTAAGTTGACCTTTTATAAAAAAGACACGAAAAAATTGTAATTTTCAATTTTTGAGCGTCTACGATCATCCTGTACGAACTAATTTCATACGTACAAATAGTATAAAAATTGTTGCGTACGAACTCAATGTAAATTAGCATGAACTGCCTTCATACCCGATCATCATCCCTTACGAACATGGTTTGTTTGGTACGAACAGTTATTTACAAACTTCATTGGTACGAAAATGCAGGACAGACTACAAGCTTTCAGAACAGAGAAGATCGTTCTGAGATGAACAATAAATATCGTCTGGATGAACAGTAAATAGAGCCAATCGTCCTGAGACGAACGATAAATATCGTTTGGACAAACAGCGACAGAGCCGATCGTCCTGGGACGTACAATAAATATCATTTGGACGAACCACGATAGAGCCGATCATCCTGGGATGAACGATAAATATCGTATGGACAAACTATACTTAGAAAAAAAAATTAGCTCTTTGTTCATTCCATTTCTCTTTTGGGAATATATAACTGACCAGATCGTCTTGTATGAACATGGTTCGTACTGTATGATCAAGTTTTAAGAAAAAAATATGAATTTTAAAACTTTTTCCCATGTGTGTGTGCTTAGTTACTCAATTACAATCACACTCTCTCAGACTCAATAAAATGAAAAGTACAAACTTCAATTTACAAAATATTCTAAGCTGATTTTGATTGGAAGTCTTCAACAATCTGGAGTATGATTTCCCTGAAATGTTAGCACACACAAGAGCAAAAATAAATCTTCCAAAATGTGTTAGGAGAAAATAATAATATTTAGAATCATAAAAAACATACAAGTTACAAGAGTGTAAAACATACAAAGCTAAGTAGCAACTCTCTCAAACATATTATTATAGTACTGTGATAATAATGTGTGTGTAAAAGATAAGTAAAGACTATTTGACTTATTAGTTGGAGACTGATTGACTTGGACATGATGGTGGGCTGACTAATTTTTCTTTAAATACTATAATTTAGTTTTATCTTCTACTGATTCATGTGATACACTGATAGGGAATTATTAGGAGATGATTATTGTACCGACAGATAAAGAGTGATAACTCTATTTATTGAGCTAAAGGTTTAATAACACTAATACAATACTAAAAAATACCGTGAAAGCTAGAATTCTTATTTGTTTAGTGTGACTACCAAAATGCATATTATTGAGGCATTATTCTTATTACTATACATATTTATTATAACTGTATTATTTTATTACTCATGCCATTGAATTGCTAATAATATAGATATTGATATTATTTAATACTACTAATTCACTGTACAATAAGCATGTAATATACTGATTTGATATCGATATAAAATAGTTAGATAGCATGTGTACATTCATATATAATTTTAATATATTTATTTAATTTCAATAGTCTTTACTGATGTTTTAATTCAATGCTTTATTCGATTTTTTAAAAATTGCTATTACGAATACAACAATTGCTTTATATATTTGATATTTATATTGATTTATTGCTTTACTAGCATATGTATTATAATATTTTATTATTTATAGATTCTACTGCTACTATATGTGAATTTTATTATTTTTACATTGATTCAATGATCATATGAATGTTACTGCTATAATTTGATCTCTAACCTCTTTACTTTGTTTTGAATTCAGTTATAAATTTTGGTGACATGCGGAGCTTTTTAGCTTATTATATGTGATCAAATAATTTAAGATCAAAGTATTGAAGCAGGCGTGAGAGGTTAGGTAGGATTCCTTAGGTTTCTATTTCTTTCTGTTTTAATTTTCTTTTATACTCAAGACAAAATAATCATGATATAATTGTGTACATCTTGAATTGTGTATATGATTTTTTTGGTAATTTAATATAGATGTATATATTGATGCTTTAATCGATAATTTTATTTAAGTTGCTATTGATATTGATAAAAGAAATTAGGTAGCTCTTGTTGTTATTTATTAAAAGATAAAAGAATAATTCTACCAAATTAGATTCTGGGATATCACAATCCTCGCAAAACCCTCATCAATGCTCTTCTCATCGAGGATCAATTTAAAGAAATAAAAAAGCTCCTCTACGAATTGAATCAATTACTACATCTTGTTAATGTTAGGGTGTTCTCTAGAAGCGACGTGCTATATAGCTTGAATATAACAAGAAGTATGCAACCGGGTTGTAGTATAAAATAGGTAAAGGTTTACACATCTTGAATGGATGTGGCCAAAGAAGCTAGTCCATGAATTTAGAATTCATATAGAATCTTGGAATGTAGGTTTTCTTATATGCAATTTAATGAAATTAATTGATATTATGATTCATAGGAAGATCAATATTTTATGCATTCAGAAAACTAAATGAGTATATATACATATGTATATGTATACATATACATATATGTATACATATACATATATGTATACATATATATATATATGTATACATATATATATATATATATATATACATATGTATATATATATATATATATAAGGATGAAGATCAAAAAATATTTTTTTAAGAAGAGGAGATTCAATAAAGGTGGATGAGATATTTTGCTAAGCTTTTTAATGAAGATCGTAAGAATATGATTGACTTTAAGGATATAAGCACTCTAAATGAAAATAGAGATTTTTATTTTTTTATCAGTATATTAATAAAACTAAAATTAGAGGGGCTTTAAAGAAAATGAAGTATGGAAAAACTATTGGACCTTATTATATCCTAATAGAGGTGTGAAAAGGCTTAGGAAATGAAGGAGTTTCTAGGCTTACTAAACTTTTTAATATTATTTTGATGACTAAAAAGATGCCAGATTAGTGAGAATGAGTGTGTTGATTCATATCTTTAAGAATAAGGTGATACACAAGATTGTGCGAATTAAAAAGGAATTAAGTTGATGTGCTATACTTTAAAACTTTGGGAGAGAGTTATGGAACATAGGTTACGACATGATACTAATGTTTCCCAAAATCAATTTGGATTCATGACGGGTAGGTCCACTATGGAAGCTATTCATTTATTGAGAGGGTTGATGGAGAAGTTTAGAGAGAATAAGAATGATCTACATATGATATTTATTGATTCAGAGAATGCATATGAAAAAGTTCCAACAGATGTGTTATGGAGAGTTCTAGAAAAAAAAAGGGTTAATAATGCTTATATTCAAGTCATTAGGGATATGTATGCATGAGCTGTTACTTGTGTTCAAACACAAGATGGTTTGACCAAGTATTTTCCTATTTCAATTGGATTACATCAAGGATCAACCTTAAGTCATCTTTTTTGCTTTAGCCATGGATGTTCTTATTAGACATTTTCAAAAGAATATACCCTACTGTATGTTTTTCGCTGATGATATTTTCTTGTTGATAAGACTAGAAAGGGAGTTGAAGGCAAACTCGAATCATGCAGGTCAACCTTAGAGTCTAAAGGTTTTCGTTTGAGTAGATCTAAAACCGAATTCATGAAGTGTAGTTTTAGTAGTAATAGATCTAGTGGGGGGTTTGTGACTTTGAGTGATCAAGTCATTAATAAGTGTACTTGTTTTAAATATCTTGGGCATATTACTCAAACTGATGGTGAAATAGAAGAGGATATTATTAGTAGAATTCAAGTTGGATGGTTGACGTGGAGCAATGCTTCTGGTTTGTTGTGCAATAGAAAAGTATCACTCAAACTTAAGAGAAAATTTTATAAGATGGTGATTAGACCTGCAATAGTTTATAATGTAGAATTTTGACCATAAAAAGAAAAGATGATATTAAGTTAATTGTTGCTAAGATAAAGATGCTCAAGTAGATGAGTGGATTCTCTTAGAAATAGGTTACGTAACGAGCATATCCATGAAAAGGATGAAGTAGCTCTAGTGATAGATAAGATTACATAGTCACCTTAGATGATTTGGACATGTAAAATGACAGCCTTCCGATGACCCTATTAGGAGAGTAGATGTATCAGAATTGACATATGTTGAGAAAGGTAAGGTAGAGGTAGACCTAAGAAGACTTTCTTAGAAAATATTAGAAATGATAGATTTAAATGAGAATTTGACTCTTAATACAATGGAGAAAAAGTATTCATGTAGTCGATCCCACATAGTGGGATAAAGGCTTGATGTGGTTATTGTGTTGTTGTATTAGAAATCATAAAATATTTTAAATGATTTTGAAAATAAATTAAAAGGATGACCAATTGCGTTGTCCTGGTTTAGTTATAACGGCCCCTATTGTTATTATCCAACTTTAATTTTAAGCGATCAATGGATAATATACCATAGTAGAAGAATGTCAAAATTGAATAATTCAGGTTTTTGAGTAACATTATGATGGGCTAATATTCAAATATAGACCTATAAAATCGAAACAAAAAAAAGCAACTGTTAAGGAATTCAGCCATACCTTGCTATGAGATGCGAATTTCAACAGCCCTTAATCTAAGACAGAACAAAGTGATATTCATTTTTAAAATCTCTCCAGATACCCTCTACAGCAAGATTAATAAGCATATGCACCCAATGGAAGACAGAAACATACTTAATTGATAGAGGATATCATACAGTAAAGTAAACATTAGCTTTTTTCTAACCTCCCAGCTGAAGGAGAAATTATTATGTGTGGGGACTGGACATAGAACGCCGTCCAGAGACCAATCAGAATGCGTCATGTCAACGGTATTGAGCCCTGGTACTGAGCACAGGAGTGACGTAACGCATTCTGATTGGTTTCCGGACGGCGTTCGACGTCCGCACAGATTAATTCAACTTAAGAATCTACTCTCTAAACTAAGCAGTAGAAATAGTGGCTGAAGAAAACTGAGTCATGTAGAGTAACTCTAGGATCAGCTAGTTGAATATTAACCATGATATATAAACAGGGCAGTACAAAAATAAAAAATAATAATAATAATAATAAAGTTGAACATAACAGTGCAACTATATATCTGAACATTTTAAATTTAGAAATCTTGTATACAAGAACCTGTAAGTCCATGTTTCTCTTATTCCAAATATATTGGAATCAAGTTGCAAAGTGATCAGAATCATCATCAATCATTTTGATCTGGGCGCCTTTGTAATGTTCTCCTGTTGTGGTCTTCGTGTATTTGGGATCCTCATTACAGTGAATAGCGTGCCACATTGGTCTTTCTTGGTGGAACATTCTGCAATATGGCAGTAGATATGTATTTATGTATAGCTCAAAGCTCTCATCTTTTACTTCTAAGGGGCTGTTTGGTAGTATTCAGGAAGTAGAATTTTGTAAATCGTCTAAATCCGGATTTCAGAATCATGAGGGGCCTAAATCCTGAAAAACTGTTTGATAACATTCATGATAAATCCTATTAAATCCCGTGTGACTGTTTGGCTATAGAGCGGATTTAACGAGGGGACTCTTCCTCGCGAGCCATTGGATTTCGTAAATCCGGCTAAAAACAAGATTTCGGAAATCTGGGATTTAGCATGAAAAGGCGGAACTTTCCATCTATGGCGGCTTTCATTTGCCGTGAGATTTGGTTTTGCATTTTTGCCCGTTTTTCTGGATTTCGCTCAAATCCGTCTCAAATCCAACCTAAATCCTGCTACCAAACAGCCCCTAATTGTAGCAATAAAACTAACAAATTAAGAAATGATTCAAGAGCTGCAGGTGCTTACGGATGCTTGCAGAGCATTGGACATTGTATGGTAACAACATACTTGCAAGTGGAAATCTCCTTGATAGAACTGATTACAACCGAAAGTTCTGAGCAGACAAACCTGATCTCTGTCTCTCGAGATTGATTCGTTAGGTCACATAAGGTTCCATTTGTGTACACATGAGCATGATACCTAAAATTTGCCAAGAGAACAGTAAAGTTCTTATATATATATATTTTTTTTCAGCTAATTGATAACTGAGAAAATTGGACAGAGAGATGTAATTTGCCTTTGCGAAGCATCTTTAGAACGAGGATCTTTTAACACGGTAGCATCTGACTGATTTTGATTAAAGTCAGCTGTAGCCATTGGATCAAACACGCCCATAAGAAACTCTTGAACTGGCTGCAAAAACAGCCACAAAAAGTTCCAATTATCGACCAATAAGAAGCTCTGAATAGTGAGGTATTAAAAGAAGGCCAGAACCGTCTGTTTGGTGAGAATATCCCGATCATCTCAAAGTAAATCAAATGCTTTTATAACCAATCTAGTTAAAAATGTTAAGAATAAAAAATTTTATCAATAATTGTGCTAACATTAGATAATCAAATTTATGAGTCCTACAATTAAGCTATATGAGAGGTAATGGAATATAAGCATAGAAAAATTTGGTCAATTTTGAAAGACCAATTTTATTTCATATCAGAAAGTTATAATATAAAAGAAATTGTTGCGTAAGAATAACTAATAGAGTGCAGAGAAAAAAGCATGATTCTTCATATGATTTTTATTAATTTTAAGGAGGTATGAGATTAAGTAGAAAAAGAATTTATTTAGAGTGCTCTAACGTAGGAAGATGCATGTTAACGATAAATTGACGTTAACAAAGATATATATATTGAATATTGACGAATATCACAAGTAATTCTTAAGAGACCAAAGTGTTTTCAATTACCATAGGTTTATGTCAAGAGTTATTATTAAGTACAAATCATTTTGCATCAATTACGAAGATGCTACAAAGATATTCAAAGTGAAATAACCGGGTGTTGTTTTTTGCAGATGATATAATTGTAACTGGTTAAACATCTCCAGAAATAAGTAAATAATTAGAGCAGTTCATAAAACATTTAAAAGATGGAAGCTTTAGAATTAATAGAACATAGATTGGGTGAATGATCAATAATTTTAGCAAGTATAATGCTACTAATTATAATTCAGTACTATTAGAGGATAAATTAATACTTAGATGTGATAGATTCAAGTAACAAGATTTATTATGAGAAAAAAAAATGAAAATATAGATAAGAAAAGAATATAACTTTTACAATTAAAGCTATATGGTTTAAATGGAGAATTGCCAAGGAATTTTTTTAAAAGAAAATATTATAGAGATTTAGAAGGCAAATTTTATTAAACCGGAACTAGCTTGATGATATTGTATGTATCTGAATGTTAAGCTATTAGAAAAATATTGAAATCTAAGTTGAATGTGGCAAATTAAAATGCTAAGATAAATGTTATGGAAAAACTAAGAATAATAAATTAAGGAATAATTATACTAGGGGAAAGGTCAAAAGGAAAATAGACTTGGGTTATTTGGACATGTACAACGAATGCCAAAAAATGTATAGATTACATGAGTTGATAAAGTTAGTATCAAAGGATTAAGAAGAAAATGGGGCAGGCCTAATATTATATGGATAGAAGTTGCTCAAATTGATTGTGAAAGAATAAGTTCAACACATCAAACAACACATAACTAGAACAAATGTAAAACAAGGATCCACAACAATATCCCAAGTAGTTGGTAAAAATCTAATGACAATAATGATGATAGCAAGATTTGATACATGACAAAGTGCATGGGGAGCATAAGATTATACAAGTAATAGACTAGGTAGATGCATAGTCTACTACAAATCAGTGGCTCGGCTGAAGGAAAGCTAGTAATCTTATCCACTATTGTCAAACTAAATCGTCATTGAACATATGGATGCTTTTTACTTGGACTCATCATGAATTCATTGAAGTGGTCAATTTTCTTTGTAATATTAAAGGTAATGTGTTTTTCTAAGAAAAAGCTCAAATAGTCCCTTGGCAATCAATTAGTAGCCTAGAGCTAGAGATTAGAAGCACTTGTTGGTTCTCCAGGTTCCCACCACCGACCTTCATTACAAAAATTATGTGAAATACAGGTTCCTACCATCAACCTTCACTGCTCAAATTATAAGGAATATAGATTCTTACTACCGGCCTTCATTGTCGGATCTGAGGAATACAGATCCTTCCACCATCTTTCATTTCTAGAATTCCAAAGGAACATTGATCGTTCTGCTTCCTTCATACATCCAAGACTGAGGAGAGATCAAGCGAGAGAGCTCCTCTCGTGTATAACATCCAGAGTCGACCGAGCAGAAGCGAGAGAGAAGTCAAGCGGGAGGGCTCCTATTGCATGCGTCTAGGGAAAAACCGAGCAGAGCTGAGTGAAAGCCTCCTCTAGCGTGCGTGCGACTACATGAGACCACAAATCGTACTATGGACAGCGGCCAAGGCCTCCTGGGGATGGCGGAATTGGGCTTGGTCTTCGTTCATGCGTGTTACATATATAGTCGATCAAGCATAGGCGAGAGAAGTCGAGCGCAAGACCTCCTGTGATCAAACCAGAGGGATCAGAGGCCTTGAGTGCATATGTACGGAGCGATTGAATAGGGATCTATTTGGGTGGACTCGAATAGCTAATTTGTATTAGGGCAAAGGCTAGCTTGATCGGACGACCGAAGAAGGAAGAGATCTGTGTGCCTACTATTAAGCCGCTTGACACATTTTTTTCTGTTACTGTCTCCAAAGCTTGATGCAACCCTAAAAACATTTTTGTTTTTTGTTTCTATTGTCTTTCCTTCATTGCCAGCCTTCCCTTAAGAACTAAGAGGGAGATAGACCCGAAGGATAATTAATCCACTTTCCTTGTTGTCCCACCACTAACCTTTATTACCATTTGCAGTATTTTGAGGGCTATTGTTCAACATAGACTTCATTGTTGCCCTACACCTTTTAGGCTTGATTGGTATAGCCTTTATCACTATCATTTGCCTCCATAATGTTAGAAGCTAATTTCTACTAAAGTTTTGACCAAATGGAGGACTCTATGATGCACCAAGGGACTTGATAACTCTACATTAGGACTGATTACAAATTATGAATGATATATATGTATTCCCCAGCTTTAGAGAGAATGTCAAATATCGTCCCAACCATCCTAGCCATCTGTTGGCTCTTAATCCTATGGCCAGGATGGGGATCTGTGGGAGGCTCACCTAGATCATGCCAATCTCCTTCCATATTCGGGTGGCTGATTTAGAAAGGATTATATTAGGGAAATTATGCATGATTTTGTAACTATTTGTTTCTTTATTAAGATATATTGCATAGATCTATAAATAGGGATAATTTTGTATAATAAATTTAAGTATTTTCCCTCTCCAATTCTCTGAACTTAATAGGGACCAATTGGGATCAATTTTTAATAGAGAAATCAATCATTTCTACATTAATATATCTATATTATTGAAGACAGATTCTATTTTACATAAGCCAGATTGCTCAAATAGATGCAAAAATGAAAATAGCATGTAGAGAAATCAATATAACACACTTGCACTACCTAAAATACTCACAACATTAATCTTCTATGTTCACTTCAATTGCCTTGTAAATTTTGGCCCGAGAGATCTTTTTTGATTAGATTTTGTTGACCCCAACAGCAAATTTTAAAAAAAAAATCATCATAAAAAACAAATGAAAATCCCAAAATTCTGCAGAAATCTCATAACTTTATACCTGTTCGGCGTCGCTTCTGTCGCCTCCCAAAAATCCAGCGTGGTCGCTCCTCGATCCTACTCTCATACACATCGTTAAATATAGAGCCAACCAAAGCCTTCGGTTGCTCTTCTCCCGCTAAAACCACGCACAAGCTTCCTTCCTTCCTTCCCACTACCGAGCTCAAACCAACCCCTAGCCCTATCCCGTCGTCAACCACCAAGCCGTAAGCATCCCGACCTTCCATTCTCGTTCCCAATCCGACTTGACCGAACTCCATCGCCTGAAACCCCCGACCTCTCCGTTTCCCTAGCTGTTCAAAGCCTTTAGCCCACCCGATTTCTTCACCTCCCTCAACGACGTTCCCCTCCTGTTGGTTTGGGTGTTATGGAATTTCGATCGGAAGCAAAGCTGGGAGCTTGCTCTCTGCAAAGGTAACGATCCTTCTCCCCTTTGCACACTTCTTCGACCAAATCCAGTAAATTCGTCGAACTATAGAGGGGAGGGGGGGAGGGGAAGAGATCAAATTAGGCCTTCAAGGCCTATAATAATGAGAATTCACTAATAAAGGCACAAAGCCTATGACGAACCTTATCCTCTGTCGGTAAACTGACAAAGTCGACAAGATCTAGTCAATGAAATGGAAGTGACCCCAAAAACCTTGATGATGGGCGTGTTGAATGCAGATCTCAACCAGAGGGGTTAACTTCAAATATTTCAAAATGTCATCCCAAAATCCCCAAAATTCAAATGTTTAAAATTAAAATCAAACCATCAAACACTTAAATCACAAAATACATCCACACTCTGCAATAGTTTACCGGGATGGACCAATTGAAAACTTACTTCAACTCACATTGAGCTAGCGCCTAGTCAAAAATATTACTAGGATCCATTCTCAAATCATTCCCTGCCAGTAAGGACATGGTACGTGTCCTCTAACCAGCGGTTTTGCCGCAAAATAGCACCGCAGGATAAACGGTTATGACCTGGGGCCCTCTGAACCGAGTCGTTTTGCCACCAAATAACACCACAAAATACCGGTTATGGTCAGAGCCGATACGCTCCTTAGTGGCATCAAATTCTTGAGATATGAATCAATAGGATATAATCGATAGGGCACAAAGCCCTCTATTAGCTAAGGTGGATTCAAATTTGTCCCCTTAGGCAAAAATCCACCCTAAGTCTACAAGGTCCCTTGGATGAAGCAATCCAAGGCTACCGATAAGGATTCTTCTGTCAGATTGAGTTGACTACCTCCTCTGACTAAGTAGACCAGGGACCACGATAGCCCAGGACGACGAAACCATGGGATCTTGATCGGGTCTATCATTCATTCCCCCGACCATTCGCTTTAAGTGCAAGATGATGGAAATTTCTAATTTTAAATATCAAACCTACAAACTCTCCAATACATGTGCCCATGTTGCTACTATACACTTGATACTATGTATCTATGGATACAATGTATCTGATCGACGACTAGCCTTAATCGAAAGTTCTCTCTCGTTATCGAGAGGGGTAATTAACTATAGGGGCTTGCGCCTATAGGAAATTAGAACTCGGATCATAAAGTGCTCGTAAAA